AGTTGGGTATCGTGAAAACGTGACCATGCTGCACATGTCTTTATCCCTTTCCGGGTTCGTGGGTCCATCATGTTTTTCCCGGAAAGGGCTTAAGCCCAGGGTTCTCTTTTAGTTTGTAAACTTAGTCCCCCGGTGCCTGCTTGAAGGTGGCCGGCGAATTGCCGGCGAATTTTTTCCCTGATAAATAACGAGGTCGAAGGAGGCCGGCGAATTTTTCCCTGATAAATAACGAGCCCGAGAATTAAAATTAGAGGATGTCTCGAGCGAAACGCTTGTTTTTGAGGCCGGCGAATTAAAATTTGAGGATGTCTCGAGCGAAACGCTTGTTTTTCAGAAAATGGTGAGGATGTCTCGAGCGAAACGCTTGTTTTGTGTTATAGACTGTCCTCTCCTGGGGACCTGAATTCTGAGGACCACCTCCCAGCACGACCACCCCCCCAGAACGACCACCCCCCAGCACGACCACCCCCCAGCACGACCACACCCCAGCACGACCACTCCCCAGCACGACCACACCCCAGCACGACCCCACCCCAGCACGACCCCACCCTATCACGAACACACCCCAGCACGATCACACCCCAGAACGACCACACCCCAGCACGACCCCACCCCAGCACGACCCCACCCCAGCACGACCACACCCCAGCACGACCACACCCCAGCAGGACCCCACCCCAGCACGACCCCACCCCAGCACGGCCCCACCCCAGCACGACCACACCCCAGCACGACCACACCCCAGCACGACCTCACCACAGCACGACCACACCCCAGCACGATCACGCCCCAGCACGACACGCCCCAGCAGACACGCCCCAGCGCACGCCACCTCCCAGCACGGACCACACCCCAGACGACCACCCCCCAGCACGACCACCCCCCCAGCACGACCACACCCCAGCACGACCACACCCCAGCACGAACACCACCCCAGCACGACCCCACCCCAGCCCAGATCCCACTCCTCAGCACGAGCACACCCAGCACGATACACCCCAGAACGACCACAACCCCAGCACGACCCCACCCAAGCACGACCATACCCCAGCACGACCACACCCCAGCACGACCACACCCCAGCACGACCACACCCCAGCACGACCCCACCCCAGCACGGCCCCACCCCAGCAAGACCACACCCCAGCACGACCACACCCCAGCACGACCTCACCACAGCACGACCACACCCCAGCACGATCACGCCCCAGCACGACCACGCCCCAGCACGACCACTCCCCAGCACGACCACCTCCCAGCACGACCACCCCCCCAGCACGACCACCCCCCAGCACGACCACCCCCCCAGCACGACCACACCCCAGCACGACCACACCCCAGCACGACCACACCCAGTCGCACCCCCGTGGAATGTTTCGTGGGGTGTCTCGTGGAATGTTTCGTGGTGTGTCTCGTGGAATGTTTCGTGGGGTGTCTCGTGGAATGTTTCGCGGGGTGTCTCGTGGAACGTTTCGCGAGGTGTCTCGTGGAATGTTTCGCGAGGTGTCTCGTGGGATGTTTCGCGGGGTGTCTCGTGGGATGTTTTGTGAGATGTCGCCCAGTTGGGTATCGTGAAAACGTGACCATGCTGCGCATGTCTATATCCCTTTCCGGGTTCGTGGGTCCATCATGTTTGATCGACGAAGAGTGCCTCTCTGTCGGGGGTTGCTGAAGCCGCCCCTGGCCCAAGGTGCCCCCAGCGTTTCGCCCAACGGTGTAGCCCCTGGGCCCCTCTGGGCCTCGTGAAAGGTGCTCTGGAGGCCATGAGGGCCTCGTTGGAAATTCTGGGGGCACCTTGGGCCAGGTGCTTCTTATTGGGGGTGGAATGTCTGCTCTCAGGAGTGCTGCTTTGCCGTTGTCGACTCCCGGGGGGCTCTTGCCATACCCTGGGATCGTCAGGGAAAGCGGCTCGGGGTGAAACGCCAGTCCAGAGAAGGGGTCCAGATCTCCAGGTGTTCACGCTGTGGCAGAGATCAGGACGTCGGATATACGGGTCGCTCCCGAGGCGTGCGAAGCTCACGTCCTCCTGTGCCTTCACCATGCGCTCCAGGCCTACGGCAGCACCAGCCGTGCCTTTCCCCAGGCCCCCCGTGCTGTGGTTGAGCTCGGGGGTCGCGGTTCGCCCAGGTGCGTGCGGATCATGCCCGCTGAAACCTTGCGGCTTCTCGGAGGAGGCAGGCAGAGTCACGCGGTAAGACGTCGGGTAGAAAGAATGGTCTCCCAGGCCGGGCTTTCATCCCGAGTGTTTTTCCCGGAAAGGGCGCGGGCCCAGGGTTCTCTTTTAGTAGGTAAACCTGTCCCCCGGTGCCAACTTGAAGGAGGCCGGCGAATTTTTTCCCTGATAAATATCGAGGTCGAAGGAGGCCGGCGAATTAAAATTTGAGGACTGGCTCGAGCGAAAACGCTTGTTTTCACAATTTGTTGAGGAATGGTCTCGAGCGAAAGTGGTTTTGCAGAGTTGG